GAAAACTAATACTGTAATCTCTTACTTATGGGCTGATTGGTCGAGTGGTTAACACTTCGGCCTTCCATGCAGGCGGCCGGGGTTCGATTCCCGATAGGCGTCATACGCATGGAATATTCAGAAAACTGACCACACAACTCCAACAACCCAGGTGGAGTATATATTGGTCTGGGGTTGATGTTGTGGTATCTTTGCTGTTGCATTCAAGTAAGGTGGCACTATAAATGATACCATTGGGAGTAAGGTCCCACTACAAACAGAACACAATACATCTCCAGCACACACGCAGGCATACACACATAGGGAGATACTAGTCAGGTGGCATAGGACTAGTAGTAAGCGCCTGATAAGGCAGCTCTTGCGAATTCCTCAAAATTGTAATGATTAATGTTATATGCTAATTGTATTGATTGTATAAATTGTATATCTATGTACTGTAAAGCGCTTTAGAGTGGCTTAGGTTAGCTAGATAGGGCGCTATATCAAATGTATATTATTATTACTTAGACTCATTATTGTAAGGTCAAACTCAAACTCATTACTTTAAACTCATACTCAATCATATGACAGTAACATTCCGTAAGTATTGCAGTGCAGTCACCGTATTAGATATGAAAGCTTATGTATTGTTGGGTCAAAATTGACCTAAAACAATATTTATTTGTACAGTGATATTAAAAACATTACTGGTATATGTACATAGTTGATATATATCTGTCATTGTACAGAGATAGTTCAAATATTGTTACTAGGGATGCCAGACACTGGTACATATTTGCTTCAGTCATTTTGGGGCTGTCATGTGTGTGATTGAAGTATGACTGTGAGTGATGAGGCCCTGGTGTAGGGGCTGGAGGAACTGTCAGTCCCTACAGACCATGTACTGGTGATTACATGGTCCAGTCCTGGGGCAGTTTAACTCATGCACCCAACACATATGCACCTTGTAAAACACATTACTGCTGTAAGCTATAGCTGGTCTATAGTGACACAAAATCAAGGTGGTAGCTAATCTTAAGTGATACAAAATCTAGGTGAAACAGCAATATTAAGATTTTGACCAACTGTTTCATTATGGCCTTCAGGTAGAGATATCTTCCTATTTGAGATTTATTCTTGGTGTTTGCCATTTGGCCATGAAATGACCTTGTGATGAATTAAGTTTTTGATGAAAACCAACCTTTAACATCTCAAGTAGGTAAATATGTATACTATAATTAGGTCTCCAATATACCTGGTATTTAAGGTACTGTAATTAAGGTCTCAGTTATAATTTACTTACCTGGTATTGTAATTGGCCCATTATTGTTCACTTTTAAGAATAAAGTATCATTTCAATGCTGTTGCAATATATATATATATATATATATATACATAAGGTCATGTCATGTGACAAAAGCATATCTGTATAAGCAGGTGTAATAAATAGTAAGAGTCTACCGATAGCTATATGTGTACCATACACAGACTATAACGAAATCTACAGGTGACTAGCAGTACCCAACAAACAGCCACACCACAAAGTTAACCATTTCCTTGACCATTCTGCTTGACCATTGATCATGACCTCCAAGATTATATGATGACCAATGATGACCTGAGGACTGCAGGCTATAATATTGGTCAAGAGTCCGGTATGGTCAGTGGTGATTTGAAGGGTAATGATCAGTTGTACAGTATAGCTGTGGGCAGTTTGTCTCACTCTGCTAACAGGATAACATCTCTATAGCACCAGTATACCTCGACAGCTGGCCAGGTATGTCCACAGATACAACTGTTACACACTGGGCTGGTATGTCCAGAGTAATATTGTGTTACACATTTTAAGGATTGTGTCACAGAGTAACGGTTATCTTGTGTTTTCTCTCACTATATTCTTCCTCCCTGTACTTTGGGAATTTCCAAACACTGACTTATATCTAGCTGTGACTTTACCGTCATCCAACCTTTGGGATTTAAACGGAAACCTTGGATTGTAAAGCTTGTTCATTATTTCCTGAATTAAAGGTAAGTTCATCATGTGAAACTTTCCTACAAGAGTAATACATTGACATTTACATACAGTGATATTTTCTAGAGTACCATCAGTGAATGGTACTGCAGTAAGGAATACTTTATGTACGTTACATGTAATGATGTCATCATATCAGTCAGCTGACACAATTATGTCTTAAATATCAATCATTGTCACATTGACCAACCACATAAAAATTGTTTAGGTCCCTCAGCTGACTCAGAGTAAAAACAGAAGCAATGTTATTGTAGGATTATTTATTTTGACTTATCTCTGTGATAAATTTACGACCCAAAACTTACATAAAAACATTAGGTGAGGTTATGATATTTTTATAACCATTGAATGCCACCATACAGATATTTCAATCAAATTCCAACTATGTATAATTATTGCCAGTAATTTTCCATTAAATTTTATTAGAATAAATTAGTTTAGATTAAAGTATGATTTGCTTCCCTTAATTTGTTTATAAATAAGATTTGTGATATTGAGGGCCTAGAGCCTGCAGTTTATGTAATATGACTGTACTATGTTACCATTGATTTATTTCCTGTTGGGCAGTGCTTCCTGTAAAGACCTATGTTAGTTCTATAAATCTATAGGTATATTCAGAGGAGTAAGAATGTTTGTGACAGCTGTGGTACAGGTATGGCCAAGTTCTTAACTGTTGGGGACAGGCATGGGGGTAAACTTAGGCTGGTGTTTACAGTCTCGTCCAAAAGCTGTGATTTTATCTATACTTCGCAGGACCTTGTTGTGATCCACTTGGGTTATCTGCAGTAAAATTGGTTGCCATTGGTCTATATCTTAGATTAGTTGGATAAGGAAAGTAAGACAATCTGCTATACCTACTTTCAAGATTGTATTTTAAACAACTGAATGTAGCGTTACATATTCACAATGGTTTTCATAGGCGATGTGAATGTAATGGTCGTTATTTCTAGTATATAATCTTGTTTAAATGTTCTTTTCACAAGATATTTCAGTGTGTGATTGTCTTTCCTGTTTAACATGAAAATCAATCTTATGAAATGCCAGTCATTTGCCACAGAATTGTTTAGTATTGGTGGACGTTTCAGTTTTTAGTTTAAAATTAATATATTCAAAAAATGTATGCTTAATACTAGTTACGGTGATTTCCAAACCTTGTTCTTGACGTAAATCAATTTGTAATAAACTTTTTATTGCAGTCTGATTATAGGTTATTTCCCCTGAAAAACTGAGGCTTGATCATAAGGCATGAAAACCAGACATAGAAAGTCACAATAAAATCTGAGTGTACGAATCAGTTAACATAAATATTTCTCTTTAATAGGCTTCATTAAATATTTTATTCAGATTTAGTTAATTTGATACAAGTTTAAAAGTATTGATACAATTCAAGCCTATTACCAAATTTAATCAATATTCATTGCAATCCTTCAAATGGTATAGCTAGTCCAAAAGAGAGTTTAAATAGGCCATCAAAAGGGTCGAAATTAAAATAAGGATGTTTTTCCAAATAAAAGGTTTTAAAGTAAATCATACTCTGAATATATACTGTATCAGACAATTCATTGGATGGTATTTCAGATGTTTATAAACATCTGAATACTATCAAATAAATTGTCTGATACCATTAATCTAGGATACCATGATACCATTAATCTAGGGTACCATTAATCTAGGATACCATTAATCTAGGGTACCATTAATCTAGGATACCATTAATCTCTGATACCATTAATCTAGAGTACCATGATACCATCTAGGTAGGGTACCATTAATCTAGGATACCATGATACCATTAATCTAGGGTACCATTAATCTAGGATACCATTAATCTATAGGATACTATTAATCTAGGTTACCATTAATCTAGAATACCATGATACTATTAATCTAGGGTACCATTAATCTAGAATACCATGATACTATTTTTTTCAATTTCAAAGTATTTTATTGACAATACATATATAATACAAACATATAAGTTAACATTAAAGGAGATATTTGAACAGTATTGACGAAAGAATAAGACAACAGGCTTTGCCTATATCAGTCTTCTTCTAATTCCGGTAGATATGTACAATGCTTAAATATATAAAATGTTGTGATTCGTTTCCTCTCACCCTCATGCACACCCACACCCACACCAGCTTATGTCTAATACTCGTTATTGATACTATTAATCTAGGGTACCATTAATCTAGGATACCATTAATCTAGGGTACCATTAATCTAGGATACCATGATACCATTAATCTAGGATACCATTAATCTAGGATACCATGATACCATTAATCTAGGATACCATTAATCTAGGATACCATGATACCATTTATCTTGGATACTATTAATCTAGGATACCATGATACCATTAATCTAGGATACCATTAATCTAGGATACCATGATACCATTAATCTAGGATACCATTAATCTAGAGTACCATTAATCTAGGATACCATGATACCATTAATCTAGGGTACCATTAATCTAGAGTACCATTAATCTCGGATACCATTAATCTAGAGTACCATTAATCTAGGATACCATGATTCCATTAATCTAGAGTACCATTAATCTAGAGTACCATTAATCTCGGATACCATTAATCTAGGGTACCATTAATCTAGAGTACCATTAATCTCGGATACCATTAATCTAGGATACCATTAATCTAGGATACCATGATACCATTAATCTAGGATACCATGATACCATTTATCTTGGATACTATTAATCTAGGATACCATTAATCTAGGGTACCAACATCTAAGGGTTATCCTGGTAAAACATGTATTGTTTATGTACTCGACTTTTGTGTACTGAAACAATGTTTTACCAAATAAATCTATCTATACCCACAATTCTAGGATCTATGATACGGCTAATCTAGGATCTAGGATACAGCTAATCCTGGATGCCTGCATGGCTCCTGTAAACAGATACTAGCTGTGAGTGTGTGACTACACCCTACAGTGCTGAGCTGCCCGGCTGTGATAGCATCATGCAGCCACATCATGTTTATGTGGTGGACATAGATTTACCTGTTGTTTTATATCATCCACCTTTGTCTGATCAGTGCTGGGGTGTAACTGGGATGATAACTGGTCTGATTCATCACAGGATACCTAGGGTACTTACACACCTTACCATAGTGTTCAACAGTCTGTCGTGATAAAGGAAAGTGTATTCTATAGACTTAGCATTGTAATGATAAGTTCTGGACAAATACCGTAATAAGTTTTCATAGAACTTCCAGAGAACATATTGTGACATTGTGAGGATTTTACCAAATGCTGTGTACATGGTGCTAAACTGTACTAGGTAAGTACATACTCTCACTTCAGTGTACTCATAGGTTCCTATATGATAAATGTGATGATGCTTGGTGCCTTTGATCTTGGCTGGAGTTGGGGATTTCCTTGACAGGTGTGTGTTTGAAGTGACTCCACACCTGTCTGGAAGTGCGTTTACCTGTCTACATTTTAGTACCTACAGACCCTGTCTATGAAGGCTGTGCCTTGAGATATTTGTTGTCATGTACAGTTCAGTCCCATCTATATAAGGATCATGTTTGGAAATGTGCATAGCCATCGACTTCTACATAATCTCCTTATATAATTATATACATTCATCCTTAAGCACATACCATTTTAAGGAATATATGAAGCAGGTCTTAATGGAAAGTTGATCAGTCACATGCATACAGGTGGTCTTTATAGACAGAAATTTGTTAAATCTGTTGTGGTATTTTTTTTAAAAATCTGTTGTAGTGTTTTTTGGTAGAGTCGTTTGTGGTGACCTATTGTTGACGTATTTAGGACTGCATGTCTGTCGTCTTGTTGTCATTGTGTGATAGTGATGGTGATAACATAAAGCCGATGTTTATCTTGTTGGCCTTTCATCACCTTCTCTGCCCACTACCCCTACTCCCCTGGACGATAGGGTTAATCCCCGATGGCTGGGTTAGGATGGGGATTGTGGGGTAAACAGTGTGAATGATAAGGTACCTACCAACATCACACAGGGGGATTGTCTGGAGGGTGACACCTATACTGATAGTGTATCTGTCTAATGGCACGAGTCTCAAGTCACAATCCTCTATCTCAAGTACACACATTCCTGGGAGAGTTTAATTGTATCCTGATATTTACTGACAATCTTTAAACTTTGAAATTAGTTTTACTGCCATAAATATGTAATTGCTGAGATTTGAAAATGGGGACATTCATGTTAGTTTTATAGCCATCATTTTATGTATTTATCGTGATCACTGGTGACCAGTGAGTTCACTGAGAATGTCCAGCTAAAGATCGAGGGATCCTGGGCTAGAGTGTCCAGCTGTAGAGTTTAAGGGTCTGGGATAAGATCCACATTTGCTCAGCATGAATTTTGCCTTTAGCATGTTCTAATTACAAATATGGTATATGCTGCATACTAATATTTTCTCTTAATAAATAGGAAGAATGAAATGACCAAAGTTAAACTATGGCAAATATCTCAAGGCATGAAGCATTTTGAAATGCAATCAAAATTAGACCGAAAGTTTCCTTGAACAACTTGCACAGTGAAGTGTACTATGAAATTTGGTTAAAATAACTAGAATGTGCAATAGAGAGTTAATAAAGTATGACAACAGGTACATTTCTCCTCATTACAATTTAATCATTTTGGGTGTACTCCATTGTCACTTTGTCTAATGAAAGGAATAAAGTCATATTTTCTCGAAAAAAAATGTCTTTTTCACATTTCATGGTTCAATTAATGGATTGCAAATTTTACTATGAGAGGCTTAAATAATTGGGTATTGATGATCATGCCTGGGTAATGTCTCCCTAACAAAGCCAATGTTTGTAGTGATGGGGAGGCTCAGCCAGACCACTTAATGTGTAATTAGCTGTGAATAGGCTGTGAATGAGAAGTGATAAGTTTTAATGTACAAACTGATATAGTGTATATTTTCAGTATAATTAAACTGGGCATGGCCAAGCCTTATCAGTACAGCAAGTCTCTCAGTATGGTTAGCTTGGCACAAGGGCACCCAATGTTCAAGTACATATTGTAGGATTTCATGCTTAAAGCTGTCATTAACTTGTCATTCTATAGAATTTGTTATAACTTTAATTTCTGGAAAAAAATCTCAGAATGTAACTTAAATTAATTTTAAGCTTGTCAATTGTAGACTAAGTAGTTCCTTCTCACCGAGAGGATGGTGAAGCATTCAATGTTAGCTAGTCATCAGGTATGTACATACAATTAACATAGGGTCCAAGTCACCTGATGTATGGAGTTTTATGTTGGGGACAGGAATTTTCCTGTGAGAAATCTAGCCAAAGGTTGTAGAGGGGATTGTGTCCACAAATAGTAAATTGACGATTGACAATTTATTTAAACCTGTAAAGATTGGAGTGACATGTATACACCATATAGGTTACCCTATTGACGATTTACAACGACATCCAAGGATTATATTTCCTCAGTGTGTTAATGGCTAACTGGTCATAGTCCTATCACAAGTGTTCTTGAGAACATACAGAGTTGGAACACACTGAACATTGAAGTGCTCGTTTGTATACATCAGAAGGGAACTGCTTTTATAACATTACCATATCTTATAACACCAATGCCATTCTAGACTTATAACAAAACTTAATTCTCCTACATATGTTAAAAGGGTTTAAATCAAACTTAAGAGAGGAGGTGTGGTAAGAGCAGAGAGAGGTGCTGAGGTTATCCCTTTGTGGGTACGTTACAAACTGTTTTTACTAGATCTAGTTGTAATTTGGTGTAGGTTCCACCATTTGTGGTTCCACCAATGACAAGTGGCTGTGTTTTTCACAGTTCCATTATGTATATAGCCAGTGTTGGTATTGACATGTCTAGCCAGTGTTGGTATTGACATGTATAGCCAGTGTTGGTTCCACTATGTATAGCCAGTGTTGGTATTGACATGTCTAGCCAGTGTTGGTATTGACATGTCTAGCCAGTGTTGGTATTAACATATATAGCCAGTGTTGGTATTGACATGTCTAGCCAGTGTTGGTATTGACATGTATAGCCAGTGTTGGTATTGACATATAGAGCCAGTGTTGGTATTGACATATATAGCCAGTGTTGTTATTGACATGTATAGCCAGCCAGTCAGTGTTGGTATTTACATGTATAGCCAGTGTTGGTATTGACATATATAGACAGTGTTGGTATTGACATATATAGCCAGTGTTGTTATTGACATGTATAGCCAGCCAGTCAGTGTTGGTATTTACATGTATAGCCAGTGTTGGTATTGACATATATAGACAGTGTTGGTATTGACATATATAGCCAGTGTTGTTATTGACATGTATAGCCAGCCAGTCAGTGTTGGTATTGACATGTATAGCCAGTGTTGGTTCCACTATGTATAGCCAGTGTTGGTATTGACCTGCCTAGCCAGTGTTGGTATTGACATGTCTAGCCAGTGTTGGTATTGACATTTCTAGCCAGTGTTGGTATTAACATATATAGCCAGTGTTGGTATGGACATGTCTAGCCAGTGTTGGTATTGACATGTATAGCCGGTGTTGGTTCCACTATGTATAGCCAGTGTTGGTATTGACCTGCCTAGCCAGTGTTGGTATTGACATGTCTAGCCAGTGTTGGTATTAACATATATAGCCAGTGTTGGTATTGACATATATAGCCAGTGTTGGTATTGACATGTATAGCCAGCCAGTCAGTGTTGGTATTGACATGTATAGCCAGTGTTGGTATTGACATGTATAGCCTGTGTTGGTATTGACATATATAGCCAGTGTTAAGGTTGGTTCCATCATGTATAGCCAGTGTTGGGATTGACATGTATAGCCAGTGTTGGTTACATTATGTATAGCCAGTGTTGGTATTGACACGTATAGCCAGCCAGTCAGTGTTGGTATTTACATGAATAGCCAGTGTTGGTATTGACATGTATAGTCAGTGTTGGTATTGACATGTATAGCCAGAGTTGGTATTGACATGTATAGCCAGTGTTAGCATTGACATGTATAGCCAGTGTTGGTATTCACATGTATAGCCAGTGTTGGTTCCATCATGTATAGCCAGTGTTGGTATTGACATATATAGCCAGTGTTAACGTTGGTTCCATCATGTATAGCCAGTGTTGGTATTGACATGTATAGCCAGTGTTGGTATTGACATGTATAGCCAGTGTTGGTTCCATTATGTATAGCCAGTGTTGGTTCCATCATGTATAGCCAGTGTTGGTATTGACATGTATAGCCAGTGTTGGTATTGACATGTGCCGTTTCATTGTATAAATGAAATCTCTTCATGGTAGGTACAATGAAAGACTGATAATTAATGACTGCTTTCAGGAATTGCTTGACTGTGCACGTGCTGGCCGAGACATCAAGGTGTTAGGGTATGTGGCTGTACCTTGGTGTAGTAAAATACAATATTGTAGTATGTTTATGTTAAAGTGTACTAAAGGCCACGTAGTGATGTATAGTAATTCTCTATAGAGAAAAAATAAATCAATGTAGATGACGTTAATTGGATCATGGAAATCTGGCTAGGAGGCATTCATCACTGTTAAATTGATTAAGAGTAGGGGGTGGGGTCGTTGTTCTGATTCGAATTATAATACTTTGATTTCAGTAATCTTACATAAGAATTAGCATGATAAATTGATATAATGACATATGAGTCAGGAAGAACTCTTCACCAAAACTCTGTAGAATGTATGGTTGGGAGGTAACGGTGATCCATGTATATGTCTGGTGGAGATATTAAACACAATAGTAGAAGGTTCTGTTGATGTAAAATATAAACAACCAACTTTAATCATGATAGATTGATAAGAATTCCTCTGTCAATAACTGTGAGGTCAGAAACAATGGAGAGAGTGCCAAGTGACAGATTGTATCATGTTTAAGGTGACAAGTACCAAAACTAGACAAAGTAAGACTGGGTACAACTTAATCATGCTAACAACATGATCATATTACATGACTTTTCTATTATTTTGTTGAGTGTTTGTTTTAAACTTTCCTGTCAGGGAAACAATTAGTTTGTCAGTTTCATGTTAACATTCTAAATCTACATTAAACACGACAGTTTTAGCTTTAACTTCCTGCTATGTTTTGTAGTGGTATAGCAAAACAGGTAAAAGTAAAAACTTACAGGTACACTGTACATTGTTTTACATCTTAAAGGATAAACTGGTATTTATAACTCGGTCAACTAGTGCGACCTTACAGGATAAACTTGTATTTATAACTCGGTCCACTAGTGCGATCTTACAGGATAAACTTGTAATTAGGACTCGGTCCACTAGTGCGATC